GTCCCTGCCGTAAGGCCGCTGCCTCTCTTCCCCCGTGAGGAGGGTTTTTTCAGTTTCTTATTTGTATCCAACTCATCAGGAAAGCGGCACTTCTTGCCCACCGGCTTGGTTTTCTCCCGCAAGGTCTGCGAACCATTTTCCAGCCCGTTGGCAAGGTGGGGCCTGTGTTTCAGCGCAGAGCTTTTCAAAATCTTGACATTTCGGGTGCCTTTGTGAAGCTTCACGCTTTGCTGCTGGGCCGGTATGTACTGGGCATTCACCAGCAACCCATCATCCAGGCTCTGGGAGGAAGAGCCCTCGCTTTTGAAATCCAGCGCGGGCCGCTCCTCGACAGCAGGCGACGAGGAGCGCGCCGCCTGCAGTATTTTTTTGGGAGGCTGGCTGACCCTGTTCTCCGGCTGCAGCACCACGGTCTTCCCCGGGCTGTCTTTGGGAGACGCGGCAAAGAGCTGGCCGTTCTCCTTGGGGACGTCCCCTGCCGTGGCCACTGCGTTGCGGTTGAGCTCCGGAGGTGCCGGTTTGACGCCCCGCGGCACGTGCTTGCTCTGAAGTTCGCCCGCCACGGCGGGTGGGAAAGCCGCCGGCAAAGGTGCCTTCCTACTCTCCAGCTGCTCGCCAGCCGGCTCCCTCGGCCTCTGCTTTAACGGGGAAGGTGCCGCATGGTCCAGAGCGGTGGTCCCACTGGAAGGCAAGCACGCTTGCTTGGAGCTCTTCAGGTTTACGACGTTACCGTGAGCCACCACCCCTGCGGGCTGCCTGACGCACATGCTTCCATGCCTCAAGATCCCTTTGGTGGGATCGGCGTTGAGACTCGTCCTCGGTTTGTTAGTCCTTACCGCATGAGTCTTTTTCTGAACCAGGCTTAAGATGTACCCGTCTATCCTCTTGCTGGTGGAAGGGCACGGCGCCGGCCAGGAGCCTTGCGGGAGAAAGGCGTTGGCGGATTTTCCTGAGTCCGTTTCAGATCTGGAGCAAACGTCGCTAATATCACAACCAAGCCTCTCCTCTTCTCGCTGGGGGTTTTCAGTCACGGGGAGAAGAAACATGGGACTCTGCACAGCTACCGCGTGGAGTGGGCTGGGGTACCGGTAGACATCGTTCCCGTTTTTAGACACGAGATCGCACTGGTACTTTGGATGTACATCTGCAACGACATCGAGGGAATTTGAGTGCGGTGTAGACAAAGAGCGACAGACAGAGCCTGCAGTCTGGTCCTCATGCTGGCCTTCCTTATTATAGTCCATCCAGCCTATGAGATCTGAAAGGCATTTTAGAAGAGTTTAGAGAGCCTGCCAGGGACAGTTCTGATACGTTTTTCACGTGCCATCAAGGACTCCGGTCCCATCTACACATATGATGCAATGTTTATACAACAGCAGTGCTGTTCAAACAGTAGAAAACTTGCAACCAGGGATGTCGCTTAAACGATATAAAAGCAGCACTATTCTTCTGCGGGTCTCCTTGTTAACTGCATCTATGTAGGATTTGCCCCAATATGACTACATGGTTAAAAAAATAAAAATCACAGCCCTAATGAGAACATTTACTTTGGTTTCAAACCTGCGGCTAGGTTGCTAAGAGTTTCCTATGTTACTTCCAAGCCACCCAGAAGTCTGTAAGGGTCTCTTCTGTTTATACACTACACAGGCACCTCTAAAACTCAGTGCGGGCCTCAGCACATAGGAGTTTTATAATTTACTTTGCTAAATCCAAAGGGAAACATAAAAAATATAGACAAAAGTGCAATGAATTCTTTTAGCTTTTGACAAATTTCACTTCCAGATTTTTTCACGCGTATCCTGGGTCAAAAAAAATCCAGATTTAATTTCATTGTTGTTATTATTATTATCACTACTATTATTATCATCATAAGAATTTTATAATTATAATAACACTAATAATAATAACAGATGCTCCTTTTGAGCAGTAAAGGGTTAAAGAATGGGAAACAGGCTCATCTTTCCACACAAGTAAAAGGAGTGCAGGTCAATCCAGCTGACATCCTAGCCTTGGCTCTGCAAAGAGAGTTCTGTAAGAGAAATCCAGTGCATTTCAGGATGCATGAGTCAGATTTAATGGCTAAGGCACTTACTTGGGAGGTAAGCGTCCTTAGGAGCAGGGCTTCAATCCAAGCACCTAAGATTATTATTTTCTTAAGCTTACGTTGCCCTTGTCTTCTTGGGTAGGGGTACAATCAAAATGATCCTTCTAGATCACTGTCAGTCCTGTTTTCTACCCTTGGGCTAGAAACTTCAGACAGGGTACTCAAATTTGAATGCTCAGTGCTCATCACTTATCTAAGGCTTATTTCAAAAGAGGTCTCACAGACCTTGATGAAATTAGCTGATAGAGATGACGTTCCTGTGAGCAGGAGAGGAAGGACAGGGAAGTTAGGACCATGAACTTCCTCCAGATCACCTCACGGTTTTGCCGCATTTCCTAAATTCTATGTCTGAGTCAGGAAATGTTGACAAAAATACTTCTTTGTAATGTGCCAGTTTGTGACATTTCATTTCTAAAAGTAAGACGGTATGAATAATGAGATTTTTAGTTTTTCATGATGTATACAGAAAAAACCCAGCAATGCAATCTGCTGGAAATCCTTGTGTATGTTTTTCTTTTTATGTATGGCTGATGAAGATCACATATACCATACATCAGGGAGCATTAAATTACCTCCAGCTGCTCAAAGGATAACTTAGAGGACTTCTCAGCACCTCAGAATGAACGTATCCCCATCTGTATTTTCCCACGTTAGAGTTAGAAGAACTTGAGTTACTTTGTCTTCGATTCACAAAAAAAAAAAAAAAAAAATCACTGTAAGTTAACCGTAAAGAGCAGAATGGAAATTGGAAATACTATGGTTAGGAGCATCCTCCACAACCCAGAATGAACTAAGGCTTTTGAATGAGTATGGCTGCAAGCAATAATGCTTGATCACAAAAGTCCTGCTGTTTTTTTTTGTGTCCTTTCTGGACAACAAAGGCCACCCTCCTGTTTAACCATCCCACACATTAAGGCTTGCATCTTCACCCTAGTGTCCAAGAAAGTCAACAGCTCTCTACCAAAGAGACAAAATACTTTTTCCCTGTCCATGATGTCTATTTGTCTATACTATATAAATGCAGGACACACCTCAGCATGGTCACCTAGGGGTTGAGGACCATCAGAACTGACAAAATGACAGCTACAAAGAGACTGACGCGCACCCTGACCTCCTAAAACCTGTAGGTAGCTCCTTGCTCTGTCACTTTAATGAGGACATGACTGTTGAGGTATCTTTCATTATTGCTATTTAGTAAAAATGCTGTTCTAAAGGAAACCATGAGAAATTAGCCGACTAATGCGTTTCTGTGTATAGGTACCACTGCCCTCTACTGGGTAGAGCAGCTGTCATATTTTCACATGTTCCCTTCATGTGTTTAGAGCGACATATTCACATGTAAGGTGGAAAGAGTCCTGCCTCGTGACCCATGTACGTGATAGGCACTGGAATCTTTTCAGAGCACAATACATCAAATGAAAGGAAGAAGGGTTAATCCAACCCAGATACTCCTGAGGCAGTATTTCCAAAGCCAAAGCCACCTCCTGGAGTATGATGTATTCGACCTGCTTTTACTATACCTGCAGATTTAGGGCGTCCATCTGAGATATTCAGTGTTGCCTCCAAAGGGCTGCAAAAGCAAGTGCTAGAATGGCAACTGGATAAACACTCACTGAAGACAGAGTTAGATGAATTGGAGAGCGATCCAGAAGCTCCATCACTCAGCTCATAAAACCCTATAAAAATAAGAGTTTGGATTTATATTAGTTATGTCTACACAAAGTTACCATTTGTGTCCCTAGAAAGGCAGTCAAGCTCATGTTTATGTTGGCTTACTCTATTGCAATTAGTTATGGGATTTCATTCAGTCACCCAAAAAACAGTGCACAATTTAGTAATATCCTTATTGCTATGAAGGACTCCGTTTAAAAGTAAAGCACTTAAAAGTAAAAAAGGAGAACTTTACTTAGCATATGAAATTTTGAAATTTTTTTTTAACCTTTACAGGGCTTGGGGTTTTACCCTTTACAGGGGTTTTCAGATTTTAGCAAGAAGGATCCAGGCTGTGTTTGACAGCCCGCTCATTTAATAGTGCATTATACTTCCAAGACAGACTCTCCAACTATTACTTGACTACAAAATTTTCACCAAGTGTTGGGTCCAATGCTATCCATTATTTTCCTCAAAGTTCTGGAGATAAATATAACATTCATGGATGACGGAAAGAAGGAAAATGGTAAATAATGTGCAGACACAGAAAATTTAATTTCCTGGTAAACTGGGACTACTCAAGAAAAATATGACATACCATAATCAAAATCTAAATTGTGCATTTAGGAATAAGGAATCCAGGGCATGTCTACAGAATGGGGATGCATCCTGGAAAACAATAATCCTGAAAAGGACTTAGTCAGCGTGGAAAAGCAGCTCAATCAAGCTTAATGATATGGCAAAAAAAGCTAATGAGACTGTTGGATGTACAAAGAGACTAATGAATAGCAGTAGGGAAATTACTTCAGCAGTCTATACAGCACTGGTAGGAAAGACATTGGAACGGTGTGCCTAGTCCTCGAATCCAGCATGCTTAAAACAAAGCTAAAAAATTGGAAAGGGGCCATAGAGCTATTTAAAGGCTGGGAAAAATGCCTTAAAACAAATGACTTAATGAACTTGACCTGTTTAGCTCATCAAAAAGAGTCAGGAATTACACTGTATAGCACCTCCAAGAGGAGAAAAAGCTGGATACTAGAAAAGACCTTACTCTATGGGAGAAAAGCATATAAAAAAATCAGTGCTGGAACAAGTCAAATTCAGACTAGACATTAGCAATGGTCTTAACAGTTGCAAGTTGGCGGATTCTCCACTTTTTAGTGTCTTCAGAACAAGTCTACATGCCTCTAGGAAAGGTTCCCCATAGTTAAATACCACTTATTGGCTTCAACACAGTTAGAATGGGATGAAATTCAATATATGGGGGATCAAATTGTTTGATTCAAAGATCCCTTCTGGCTGTAAGATCAATTTTTACATCTTCCTCCTGCTGGTGGTGCTTCCTTTCACCATTTTTCCTGCAGCCTCCTTCCTAATATGCAGGAGAATTAGAACTAATTCAAGAATTTTTGAACTAATTTGTGGGTGGCCTTGAAAAAAAAAATGCCTCAAACACTAAAAATCTAACTAAGCTTGAAATGCTCCTCTGAATCTGTTGTCTACAAACAGCAAAACCTTTCCAGTGGTAGGTGAACTTTGCTAGTAGGCATTAATTATCGGAGTGTGAACATCCTATAGATATTTACTGTTGCAGTACTGAAAACTACAGCCAGGTGAATTCCAGGTACCAAGGGAGGCTCCATTCTGCTGAATATTGGCCTTACCTGAACTTGGACGACTGTCTGTCTCAAGGTGTTCATCTGTCGTTTTTTCCACGTCCAGGCGGAGATCACTTATTTGCTTATCTAGCTCTTGTAACTGATTTAGTAGGCCGGCGTCCCTCCTCCTCAAGCAGTTCTGGAAAACAAGGAGACAAACAACATCAGCTCCTTCAGTGGGGCAGACATGAAGGGGGTCCAAAGACAATCAGCCTTCTCCATCCGAGCATCGTGGAAATACCCTGTCGATATTCTTTTATAAAAAAGACAGAACAGAACAAAGCCCTGAAACTCTAGATAGATGCGCTGGATAACTACTTCACTGGAGAATTATGCAGGCACTTCATTCCAGCCTCTTCCAGCCAGTTCCACATAAGGAGCACACGCCACAATTTAGGAAGACCAACACGCCATGTCGGCAAAGCGCTCCTTTGCAGGACCACAGCTGTGACAACAAAGCTGTATGGTACGACATGGTCAAACCAGACCTGTGCGCATGAAGCGGGCTACTTCGGTGAAAGGACAGCTTTGCCAGTGTAATAGGGGACGTTCACCACCACAGTGCTGTTAGTCAAAGATCACATCTGTTCGCACAATGGGACGAAACAGCTCTGCCAACAAGTGCCTGTCGTGTGGGAACCGCCTTGTTCTGCTACACGTTATGAGCTTCGAGTCTACCGTATAGACAGCGAGATTCCCAGGGCTGGGATCACGGCCCTTTTATTAGTTTTGCAGTGCAGCAGGAAGGAAGCGTAATTCTTCCTCTTCTCCCATTATAATTGTATAAAATTGCTGCAAGGTGAATTTTAAGGCTATTTATGAAGGTAATTTGATGGCATAAAATGAGCAATAAGAAACGATTTTGTAAGGCACTCATTAACCCACGGTCAACGCAATCAGTTTCCCTGTGTGCATTATAATGTTGCTTATCCATCATCTGTTCAGCTTCATACCCTTTAATTGTTCTGGCTTTGGGGAAAGTGGGGGAGGCAGGAGGAAGGTTTATCTCTTTTTTTCCAAGTGCATCATTTGATCGGCGCCCAGCAGTGCTCTGATACGCTCAGCGCAAAGAGTTTTGATGCTCAGCGCCGGACTAGTTCTAAACCCATTAAATCCAGGATAACCTTTCCCCTGGGGTGGCCCAGTCCTCGGGCAAAGGGAAAGCAAACGCTGGGAGTATTAGCGAGGCTGTTTGAAGATGTGCTGGCATGTAACGCCATCCTTGGAGAACCAAAGGGGCGATTCCCAAGTCTTCTCCCGCATTTCTGCGGGGAGCGGGGAGCTGGCTGGCAGCCAGGCTGGCAGAGGCGACGGGTTCAAGCGGTAACTCGCCGCGCCACCTACTGCCACCAGTGTCCCCCCTCCCCCAGCGAGCACCCCATCTGCTTCCAATCTGCAATGTCAAGTGCACAAATTAAAGCTCTACCACAAATCCCCGAGGTTTTTGGGTTTTTTTTTTTCCTCTGAGTAATGATTCCCTGGTCCTTCACGACAGCTCTTCGGCTCCCACCCCCTTCTCAGCAGCAAAAATAATTTATTTTGAGCTTTTGAAGAAGGAAATCATCCTAAATTCACTGCGCCAAAAGGCCAACAAGAAAAAAAGGGGGAAAAAAAAAAAGGGGGGGGGGGGGGGGAGAAGAAATCAGGCAAATAAATCACGCAATCCAACTTCTCCCCGGCTGAAAGCAAATGCTGAGCCGTGCACAAAGACCGCCAGGCACAGCTGTACGCTATTTTCATTGAAAAATGATCTGCCGCTTCATGCCGCCCTCCATCTCTTCCCACACCAGCTACAAAGCGCATCCTTCAACAAAAGCATCCCTTCTTTTAAGGGGCCCGATCCTGCCCGTGCCGGAGCGCTCCGTGCCTGCTCTCGGGGTTGGGACCCAGGAGCTCGCTTCCCAACTTCCATTGAAGGCAACGCCGGCGCCTCTCTTGCCTTGAATGGAAGTCGGGCCGCCGGCCCGGCTCTGCAGACCGAG